ACTTGGGTCAACTCAAATTAAGCAAATCTGCCAAACCAACTTAATAATTGAAGGTTTACTTCGTTGGCAGTAAAAAAGCTACTGCAATCCCTGTAGGGTGAAAATATTCCAAATGAGAGCAACTCCATAAAATAAGTCCTGGGGTAAGGCATGCAAATAACTCGACGACTGAGACTACTGGAGTTATTTGAGGGGGACATCAAATAATGATTCAGCCCCCGACTTTATTCTAGTTTTATTACAATTAATACAATCTTAGTTGTTACTTTATTGCAAAATACTCATTTTGGCCAACAATGATCTTTGTTTCATTGCTTGCAAAAATAAGAAAACATTAGTTACTTAGTTGAACATTTAATAAAGAAGAACATAAAGGGGAAGTATCGTAGCTGCTACAACGGCAAAGATGATCAAAAAGGCAATCAACAACTTCATTAGTGATGTAAAGAGTCGATAACGACGCTTTCGGTAAGTGAACTTCTGCTGAAGTTCCCTGTTGGGTTTTGCGTTGGTATATGCCCCATCTTGCGGTGCCAGGGCCTCCAATCCCAGACCCAGGATCATCAGTTCATCTGGGCACGGCAGATTTCCTTTGCAGGTCTCAATCTGGCGACCACCTGCCCCACCAGAACATTGCTCACCAAGGCAACTGCGAACTCTTTCGCGCTGACGCAATATTCCGTGTCCGCATGCAGGAGAACAGGTGGACCACGATGACCACTGTGCCCAATCACCCCTCAGATGTTCACAGCGTTCACCGAAGGCCTCTTCAGGACACAGGCAGTAGGCTTTCTGAATGTATACCATATGTTCATTTTTTACATTTGTATAACAGCATGTGTCTACTTAAGCATTGTCAGTAGAACGGTTATTAATTAAGCATAGGCTGCCCTTACCGTGCCATCCGGCGAAGAGATGCAGTCACCACGGATGCAAACCACTGACGAGCACTGGTCCTTTAGAGCCAGACAATTGTCTAACTCATGGAGCACACTTCTGGTCCAACGGGGTCCACACCTTTGATAAGATATTTTAGTTTATTTAAGAGGTCTCGAGAGTATCATTTTATAAAAAGTTAACCATAGCATAGACCACAGCGGCTGGTACGTTAACAGCAACCCAGCCTTCCATACACTGTCCCCATATCAGTCTCTTTTTTGCAGGAAAAATGTCTATTATATCGGCTTTAAATTACCTGAAACATGCATCAAAGTAGTGTATTTATAATTTTACAATTGCCCAGCCATAAAATCCGATTACTGTTTATTGCCTAAGAGTCGATTGTCTGCGTATATGAACAGGCACTTTAAAGCCAACTAGTGTAAGGGCAAAATTTCATGTCGGTGAATTAGACAAGCGAAAGATATATCCTACCTGTTCCCTATGTACATATAGGGACTGTTATCAAAAACAAATGTGGTTATTACAAACGGAAGAGGTCATTTTTGTTCCAACTCTATCCTAATCTGTTCTAGAGCATTTGAATTTAAAGTAAAAATATCTAACCAAAAACTTTTCCTAATCGAAGGAAATTCTCAGTCTGTCCTTCAGAGGAATAAAAGGTCTGAAACTAAATTATTATAAAAATGATTAGAAGCTTTCTAAATTGGGTCAAAATGAGCAAGGCTGTGTGGTTAAGGCTCTGAATAAGTTGTGACAGTGGCACATGCTCTCAAACAATTTGCCAGAGGCAGCTAGATCCACATAAGTGGAAGGACATCGACAATATTAGCCGAAGTAGAAACTGTGTTCGGGGCAAGCACCGGCTTGGAAGGGCGACGGAGCGCAGTTGTCACGCCACGGCAATGAGAGCGCGCACTCTAACTATCGATTTTTCGTCATAGCTGATTGGTCCCTTGTCGCTAACACTGCCTCATCAAGCTGACTGAATAACTACCCCCACAGCCTTTTGTGAGAGGGACTTGCTTGACTTGCTCTGTTTGAATACACTTATCCTCCTGGCTGACTGACTTCTCTTGTTCTCTCGTACTGGCCTTGGAGGCAAAAGCTGGCTAGCTCAGAGGTAGAAAGACTCGAAAAGAGATAAAGGAAAAAGTAAAAAGAAAATCGAGGAAGAAAGAGGACGAGCAGAAAAGGGAACAAGAGAACGCTGGAGAGGGATAATGGTTTTCAGTGTACAAGAAACTCTCATTTTAATCTTCGAAACTGCGTTATGTGAGGCTCTAGCTTCACTTGCCCACCAAGTTTCACCACCTGTACTACATTGCCGGTTGCTGGCTATCTACCTAGTCTTCTTTTGGCAGGCTTTTGGACTTCTGATTCAGCTTAGCGATGA